TTAAAAATATTCAAGCATAAAATCTGCATTTATGTAAGGATAAACAGGAGCAAAGATTTTACCATTGCTGACATACCCAGGATGGGGAATGGATTAATAGTCTCAAAACTGTGCTGTATTTTTGTTGCTGTATTAAAAAATACTTTTTCTTGTTGCATTTTGAATATTTTAAAATAACTAAAACAGAACTAAAGAGATTTTGATTTTACTGTAGGATAAGACTTTTGGCACAGCTGGGGAAACTGTTGTTGTTGAAGAACTTCTTGAAGGAGAAGAAGTTTCTGTAAGTGCACATCTCACTGTAACACTTTGATTATACCTGTTCTAAACTATTTAGGAAACACTATGTAAGTACCTACAGAAGGGACATGAAAGATTTTATTACTGAAATTAAAAAGTTATCTGTAAATAAATAAAATTGTATTAATTAAAGGTAGCTGTGTTAAGAATCAAACTTCCTGCAGCCTGTTAAAAGAATTCAAGTTAAATAAAAATAACTCAAACAATAATCGACTGTTGCCACATCGGAAAAAAAAATCTAACCTTAAAAATTTTGAGTGTCATTGAGTGTGCAGTTCTGTGTTATCATTTCGCTGACAGCAAAGTCAGTGTAAGATGTCCCTTCTCTTCCATATTGCTACCTTTTTGCTGCTGTTCGCCTAGTTATTTGTTCGTGAAGCTACAACCTAACGACCTTTGTGCAAAGAAGTCACTGCCACCACCTTGCAAGTTTTCTGCGTTCTGGTTTAGAGCCCAGTGCCATTTGAATCAATACAAGTAACAGGATGGTGACGCGCAGAGCAAGGCGAGGAGTGGTTGGGAGCGAGGGAGGATGGAGACTTTCTTTAATCAGCTTTGCTGATGAAGGGAAAAAGTTGAACTGCATCATGAGGGAGCAGTAAACTCCTTTGGAGCAAGGGAACAGTCAGCTCAAGACAGGTGCAGGCAGGATCCTCATTAACTGGTTTCATTGCCAGAGAAATTGCAACGTGGAAGTGCACCCGGGGACGAAGGGTTGGGAACCAAAGGCTGTTGAATGATTTGACAGTGCTGATTTATTCTGCAGGTGTGGAGAGAACATTTCCTTCATTTTAAGCCGATTCAGCTCCTTCGTTTAAAAAATATATATCTGATTTAATTAGCAGAGTGTGAAGGAGAAAAGGAGAATTAGAGCCTAGGTTTTGAGGTGGCAGGGGAACTCGACACTTGCATCACACAAAGTAGAACAGCCAAGTATCAGCTCAGGTTCCCGAATACTGGAGCTGGAATTGATTTATGCTGGATGTTGTGAACATTTATCTTGGAGGTGGTGGTATTTATAAAGTAAGCGATCATTTCCAGCTGTTGCCAATCTTTGCATAGTCTGGTTTCCTGCCTGATATGAAGAAATTAGACGTCCAGATATTGGTCATCCTTATTCTTTCCTGGTTGTCTTGACCTTTTTAGGAACTGAGGGGTTATCCAGATGTTAATTCTCTGGTGGAAAATATGTAATGCTCTGAATTAGTCCTTAGAATACCATCAACCTTACTGTATTATAACAGATAATATAAACACACAGTTGAAAGGGTTTTTTTCTATGATGACAGACAACAACGAAGAAAAAATACCGCTTGCCTTGCCTGTCAAAATAATTCACCTTCTGCAAATTACTGTAGTTTTTAATATATTAATATTTTGGCATATTGGGGTTTTGTTGGGGAATCCTTGCTTGGTTTTTAATTAGCATTATAAAATGTTTTTCTGAGTACTGCTAGCAGTAGCCCAGACAGTGAACATCATCATCCAGTTACAGAAGATGCCAGCAGGCTTGTTATTATGAAGATATTGAGGATAAAATCATCTGCTGTATAAGTAATTTGTAAATAATTCAAAAGTAAATAGTTTTATCAACAAGGAAAAGGAAATCTTGAAAGGAACGTAATTCCTTCCTTCCGGGGCAGGAGGAAGGGAGGGGGAGAGAAGAAGTAGCTTCCGTTGTGGAGTATTTAAATTTTCTTTTTAACCTTTTTAGTATTTCTCTTCAGTACAACTACTGATATTATGTTATAATTTCTTTTACGTTATATGGAAGTTAATTACTGTAGACAGGTCACATGAACTGAAGTACTGCTTCTTGAGGGAAAAGGGAAATGTTTAGAATACTGTAGTTTGTTTTAGCAGGGAGACAGAATTTATACTCTTAAATATCCGATTACAGCACTGAAAATCAAATATATTTGCATTTTTTGCTCTTTAGTTCTTATAATACCCTGGGGTTTTAATTATTCTCCTTGTTTTCTAGTGTTTATGTTTCACTGATGGCGTCACAATTGCCCCCATGCCTCCAGCCCAGGACCACAAGCGATTAATGGATGGAGATGAAGGCCCTAACACTGGAGGGATGGGAGCTTATTCCCCAGCACCTCAGGTAAAAACGTATCGACAAGGAGATGTTTTCCTAAAGCTGTACTACAGCTCTAGTACTGAAAGCACGTGTGAATTTTTAGTTCCACCATGATGACCAGGAGAGTGAAGAAAGTGGGCTCTCGTGGATGGACAGAGTTGCCTAGAACAGACGTAGCTGAGTAGAGTCCATAAGTTAAATTTGTTTCTCTAAAGAGGATATTTCTACTGAATTATTTTAATTATAAAGGTGGAAGTGTTATTTCTTCAACCTTGTATACTGATTTGGTTTTTAGGTGTTATGAAGTACTGATTGTTAGAGCTAAGTGCTTAAAACCGCATTTTTATCTTGTGCCAAACTAAGCTAATGATGAGCTTAGTTCACTTACAATACTTCAAGTTAGTTTGGTTTCTGTTTGGCAAGGAACTATTTGCAAAAGGACTTACTTTGCTTTCTATTCACCTATGTCGTGGACAGAGATTTTTCTTTTTTAAATTAAAAAAAGTTACAGGTTTCATTCGTCTAGGAAGCTATCAATCTTGTTTATTGAATAAAATTTGATCATTGATCACTATACTTCCCAACTGTGGTTTGTCTTTGGGAGGCCTTATCTAAATGCCAGTATGTCTGTGCAAATGGTTTGTTCCCAGTGAAGCCAGCAGGATTGCTTGCCCGTGTAGATCTAAG